TGGAGAGTTGACAGTACCAGCGCTGAGGATGATTTCCTTTCTTGCAAAGACCACGTGCGAAATTCCTAATTTGTCGTAATTCACCGCTCGTGCTCGAAAATTATCGTCAAAAATTATCTAGAAGAGTAATAGGTAACAAATAACCTTTAAAAAATATGAAACAATCCTAACCTGTGACTCTACTGACTATACAGATTATATGTAACTGCCTTCAAAATAGATGTTTCTATGTCATTATGTATATGAAATCTTCTCATTCAGTAAGGTAAATTTAGATTTTATTGATGGTATATTATCGATCAAAAACGCCGAATTAAAGCGATATTTTACAAATTTATTTCGGACTCAACTTAGCTGTAAACCTTAGGAATATTTCTTACTTTAGTGACGAAAGCAAATATAACAATATCGAGGTTAGGTCTTCCACTTGCTGGTCTCAGGTACGCCTTTGCCGTGCTGCATCGTGCTCCTCTTCGGATTGTTCCCTGTGGGATAGCGAATCCTGCAGGACCACAGTTGAAAATTTGTAATATCTTTGTACAAATGTATTTAGATTAAGTGACAGAAAAATATACGAATGAATGATATAATAACTATCTGTATCATCTTTTACTGAAATGTGAATAATACAGCTTAAAACACAATGATCTGTTGAGAAAATAAATATATGTTTGTTTAATATTTTAAAACATATTATGGGCAAACATTTTCAAATTTTTGAAGTTCCAACATTTTGTAAAGATGGATTAAAGTACAGAATAAAAAGAATGAAATTAATTAAAAAAGGAATAGGATAGTGCAACAATTGTAACAATATTACGGCTTTTTTGCGAAATTATACAAGTTATTCGCAAAAAAAAAAAAAAGTTATGTAGTTTCAGTTGTTGCATTATTCTATTTCTTTTATTTCGTCCTTTAACTCTTTAACATTTTACCTTGTTTAATATTATAGGCAAATGTAGTATTCTGGTATCATAAACTGTCGGTTGGATAAGTCTAACTTCTCTGAAATTGTAAAACTTGATGAGAAAAATAAATATAATAATCTATATTTATGTCACACGTTTAGTTTTATAGTTTTAACTTCAACCCACGTGTGAAGCCTAACAAAAGTTTAGTTTTATAGTTTTAACTTCAACCCACGTGTGAAGCCTAACAATGAACATCTAACACTTGGATTAAGCATTGAGAAATTTATTTAACTGATATCATTAGAACAGTGTCTTTGGTTCAAACGTTGTACTTACATTGATGCTTATGAAATAGTGATAGATGAAGTTTCAGACAATATGGAAACCCTTATATATATATATATATATAATGGAATTAATTTCCACAAATTAGAAAGCTTCTAGCATCCTAAAATTCTTCTGTTCGATGTTTGACTAACTTACAATAATTATAGTAGACACAGATGTTGCTTAATGAGTATAATAAAATAATAAATTGAGAAAAGTAAAATAGTTGTCCGATGAAGGCTCCAGTAAGAGGGCCGAAAGCTCGTAAATAAAAGTAATTTAACGTAGAGAAAAGTCTGTATATAATTCTACATATCAATTTATCTACGTTATGTGTCTTTACTTACTTCATCCCATTAGAACAGTGTTTATAGTCAAAACGTTGTACTTACACTTGATGCTAGAAAAGTTTGATAAATGAAGTTTCAGATAATTCTTGTTCTGAAACTGTTGTCTTGAAATATTATAGCTCTTATAAATATGTTTTCTCCACTTTGTATTATTGACTAAAGCCAACAACGACGAAAACAAAACAAAATGTTTCCATTGGGTAGATGAAGTTGTCATAGTGTGATAATCATACTATCCGTGTTATAGCTATGAAAAACATAAAACACACACACATTCCCACTCCAAACACCATATAAAGTACATTTTATTTGACCAAAGATATCTAATTGTCTGGATTTTCTTTCTAAAACTATGTACGAATTAACTCCTCCTAGTGAATGAACCTAAGCCTAAAAATACTCCATACTAACCATTTAGAAGTTGTTTCTACAACTCACCAGATTGTCGAGGTCCATTAAGGTCAATGTTAGGGTAGCCAAAGGTCTTTCCAGCTTCAATAAATGCATATGCTAAAGGCATAACATGAGGTGGATTGGATACAGTGAGATGGCCTCCTCTACCATGAAATCCTGTATATAGAAATATATGCGTAAAAATATGCAGGTTATATTTAATGCAGTACTATTAACATATAAATATTAGTTATTTTTATCTTGTTGAAAATAACATGATATTTTCCTATAAAGGTGCTTTCAGAACTTTCAAATAATCTAGGTAGCATTGAAGAAGAAACATCTGTTATTCGAAGACGCGAAAGATATTTAAATCTGTCTTGGCTGCTTTGAAGAAGCTATGCATGTAACTAGAAACAGAATTTCAAACTTTTATGGTTGCAAGAATAAATGTCCATATAATGGTGTTTTAGTATTGGTGCAGGCTGGTAGTACCTCTACTGACAGACACTGGAGTAACTTGACGACAAACCAATTCAACTTGCTTCGTTGTAGTACTTAATGTGTTAAATACAGGTTTAAAAGTACAAGATTCAAAGAGCTAATTTCAAAAATACGTAAATCACATGGAAGCAAGTCAAATTCGCGTACAAGCGTGAAAACTTTATTGCAACACAGCATGAATCAGTCAGAAAATGTGTTACCGTATCATGATGCTCAGCATGTGGTTTAGATATTAACTGACAGAACACAATTCTTTGTAATCATTCTTAAAGGTAATTCTAATGAAGGATTTTAATTTTTACCAATACTTAACGCTATTTGTTGTTTGGAATATAATTAAATAATATTAAGAAAACCTATCTTACCATTATTCGCCAGTAAAGGGTCTCTGTTGTCTCCTGCCTTTAAAAAATAAGGAAATACATCATTCCAACCCCAGCCGTAGGCACCATGCTCTCGCTCCCAGCGGTCGTAGTCTCGTCGATTTCCTCGAATATACAGCATGTAATTTAAAACACTGGAGCCGCCTAACACTTTACCCCGAGGCCACCTGAGTTTCTTTTTGCAATGAATAAAACATCATATAAATACTGTGTACTTTAACACGTTAGAAAATCAAATAACTTAAAATGTGATTACTCGAATGCGTATACACAAAGATAACAAAGTAAACATCATGTTATGGATTTGAGTGTTCATGGACTGCATCTGCCAGGTGACAAGCATCGGTTTCTGTGCTGAATATCGTCCACCTCTTTCCTCTTGTTAAAACTCCTCAAAATATCATGTTATTTAACGTATTTGAGGCATTTATTATAACTAGTATAAAAATACCCGTGCTCGGCCCGGCATGGCCAGGTGGTTAGGGTGCTCGACTCGTAATCTTAGGGTCGCGGGTTCGAATCCCCGTCGCACCAAACATGCCAATCTCCGCCTTTGCCTGGTCCCAAGTCCAGGATGAGAAAGGAGGGTTGGGCTAGCAACTCCACCCCGTAAAAACCAACCTGCTACAAGTAACTGCAACAACAACGTTCCGTTGGTGAGGTGTTGTTACGGCCCTATGCTCCACTGGGAGTTTACAGGAATAAAAAAAAATACCCGTGCTACGCTACCGTATTTAAAAACCTTCTCGGGATTCATGAAGGCATCAGTATACTGGTAAAGCTCTTATCCAATTACTTCTATAACTACCCCAAAGGGGATCCGTACCCAAAAACAGGACAACCGCCTGTGTTGCCTGAATAGTTAAAAATTGTTTTCTCGTTTTTGTTTGTTAAAACAATTGTTTATGTTTAGAACACGAATTAACACCAGAAAAATTAGATCTGTATATAGGGCAAACATACGTTGTTAAAAAGTCCAAAACCAGCATATTTTTGTGGTTCAGTTTGGTAGGCCCAGTCCACAGGTGTTCGCTGGATCAAAAAGGAAGCCATCGGAATGTCCGTTATTATATTTTCTTGACCGCCTGCTTCTAGAAGTAAAACTTTTATGTCCGGGTCCTCTGACAGTCTATTGGCCATTACTGATCCTGCTGATCCTGCCCCAACTGGAAAAATAAACATAATAATAATAATGAGAAACAAATTATTAATCATAATGATATTATATGGAAATAACATCACTGATTTGTTTGATGTCAAATACAAAGCTTCACAATAGGCTATCAGTGCTAGGGCCACAGCCGGTATCGAAATAAGATTTTTAATGTTATAGACCTTGAGAAACACACTGCTTTGGAAACAAGATGACAAATATATGAAAGTGTTTTTATTTTGTAGGTGGATTTAAATGTCCTATTATAATAAAGGGTTCCCTTCCAACAGAAACACATTCACAAAAAACTCACGCAGAGATTCTTAATGAAACCATTGTACAAAGACATTTAATTTTATATAC